GAATAGAATAGAATAGAATAGAATAGAATAGAATAGAATAGAATAGACCTCTTTATTGGCCAAGTGTGATTGGACACATACGGAATTTGTCTTTGGTGCATATGCTCCCAGTGTACAAACAGAAAAAAATAAAATACTGTCATGCCCTGTCTGAGTCTGAATCTGTAGAGGAAGACGAACAGCTGACAGGGAGTGGGAGTGTGGCTCCGTTGGCTGTGGAGGAAACTAAGTAAGGACAAAGTCTAGCTGGGCAGAGCAGGGGAGAGGTAGAACAAGGGAGAGGGAGTTCAGAGGAAGACCCAGGCCCACACCCTCTTCATCCTAGGGCACGCAGGGAGGAACGGAGAAGAAAGCAATGTGAGTTGTGTGGCTTATGGGGGAGGAAAGGGCCCTGATTCCCTTCATTAGCCACCCCTGGGAAGAGAGTTTAAAAGAGATGAATGCTGAGTGCTGCATCTGCTGGGAACAAACGTGAGTTTATCTTGTGTTGCCTTTGGTTATCTGTGTTCCTGGCATCCTCCCGTGTTGAATTACAGCTGTTCCTTCATGTCTGGAATTCCTTCTCCTGCCCTGCCAAACTAATTACCTCATCTTGCCTTGACTGGACTTATAGTTACAGTTTTTGTTGACCATGTTTTGGACTTGATTCTCTGCAGCCAAAGCTTGTTCCTGGGAGAGTTTTTCTCTAGCCAGAAGGTAAACAGAACATTGGGGGCAAAATTGGAGCTAATAAAGGGGACTCCTACTGATTATCTGACTGTTGACTTTGTGCCATGCCCAGAATCAACACAAATACATTCCTCATGAATCATAAGATACAACACTTAGTGATAGTCATAGGTTACTAATAAGCAATCAGATCATACTAGGGAACAAATAAAACAATATAAATTGTAAAGATACAAGCAACACAGTTATAGTCGTAAGTGGGAAGAGATAAGTACTAGGAAAGATGAGAATAATAATAGTAATACAGCCTTAGTAAATAATTTGACAGTGTTGAGGGAATTAGTTGTTTAGCAGCGTGATGGCATTTGGGAAAAAACTGTCCTTGTGTCTTGTTGTTCTGGTCTGCAGTGCCCTATAGCATCATTTTTGAGGGTCAATGTTATCCAAAAAGACAGATAGGTGGTTACATACATGACATTCTTAAAGACATTACTGTACCTAGCATAAAACTCTAATGACTGTAAGTAGACCTGATGTGCACAGCACTGTTCATGCTATATTATAAATGCAGTGCTATTTGCTTTAAAAATGCAATGCTATTTGCTTATATATATGCCTGGGTCGGAACAGAGGTGATTATTGTCAGCCCCAAAGCTACAAATGTGGAGTGAGTGTTTGTGGGTCAAAAGAGACCATGTATCCAGTTCTGTACAAATATGGCACCAATGACGGCTGCCTCGGTGAAATGCTAATGGTTTCTTTATTCTTTATTATTCTCTGCAATTTCCTATGGATTTCATACTCATGAGGTCATATTTATACTGACTGTTTCCTAGTATGATTTGATGGCTTATTGTACCCTATGACTATTATTAAGTGCTGTACCTTATGATTCTTGACGAATGTATCTTTTCTTTTATGTACATTGAGAGCATTTGCACCAAGACA